TGATATGATTGTGAACAATATTTAACCTTTCTCATATAAAATGCACGAATTCGATGAATAGCATATTGTTTATGAACAACAGTTGGAGTATGTTTATTAGTCCCACTAAGTACTACATCTTGTAATTCATTTGATGTAGGAACAGGCGTAATTTTTTTAAATGTATACAATGGCATGGTACTGAATTTACTCTATTATCTTTTTTTTTGTTTTAAGGGTAAATCTTTTTTCTTTTTCTTTTTTAAACCCTGTTTCTCTATTTTTATCTCGTTTCATATTTCCTTTTTTTTTTATTATTCTTTATAGTTTCTTCTTTTGACGTTTTCCTTTTAACTTGTCTAATCTAACCTTTCAGTACTGTCTTTATGGAATTAGTGTTACGTCACATGAATTGTTGTTATTTTCTAGCATTTTGACTCTTCGCTATTTTGTCAATTCTTTAATCTTATTAAATCTTTCTTTTTTTAAAACAAACATGAAGCCGTGCAACACATTTAGTCAAGTCATGATAAACATATTGTTTGATTGTTGATAAATCATTCACATTTCTCCCAGCATATAATGGAGATGATACTCCGCATTGTTTAAGTATTATCGTTGCATTTGGTGTTATTTCTTTATTAGTCTTATTTAATTCTCCTAACATGACTTGAATTGATTGAAGTTGTTTGTTTAATCCATGTATTTGGTTTTGAAGAAATGTAATTTTTTCATTTTCTATTGTTTGGTGTCGTGCAATCATTGCTTCAAATTGAGTAGCAACACTTTCATGCCGTTTAGCAATCTTAACTAAAATATTTCTGTCTCGAATAAGTTGGTTTATTGCTTTTGCCAGTGTGAGACATTTTTTGTCTATGACATCGTTAGTAGGATGGTTTTGTGTGTTACCATTTCTTTTTGTTGGAGTAGTTTTTGAAGTTCCATTGTTATAGTTCATAATGACAAATTTTTTAATTTATTTGCTTAGGTCTGTTGCTTTTAGTTGGGTGTCTTTTCACTTCATATTGAAATATGATTAAAGAGGTGAAAAAAATAAAAAAGAGAGGATATTATCTCATCTTGAAAATTAACAAATCTCGAAAGTTGAATGGTGATGAGAAGAACCTTCGTATTTAAAAAACAAAAGAGTGGTCTTCAAAATTCAGCAAATATAAGTGATTCACAAAACCTTCATCAACTCGGTATGGAGTTATCACGTGTTTATTGTCTCCAAGTAGCAGTTCATTCAGGAGAATTTCTCGAAGGTGAGACTGGAATTTATTGTGTATGTAAAATTAATGAAAAGAAATATAGGACAATGACAACTGTTGGGAATAAGCCATCCTTTAATGAAACATGGAGTATGACTATTCCTGAAGATACAGTTCGTTTAACAATTGAAGTGTGTAAACATAATAAATTAAATTCAAGACAAGTAATAGGAGTAGTGCAAGTATCATTAAAACGATTAGGAATAAATGTAGAAACAACAGAGAAGTATACAGTAGCATCATTTAATGGAAGTGAAATAGGGAAATTATTATTAACATTTAAACGTTTTTCAAGAGAGGATGAAAAAGAGTTAATAGGAGAGAAACCACAAAAAGCAAGATTCTCCTTAGTGTCTTCTTCTATGGAAGACCTTGAGTCACTTGTGAGTGATACATTATCAAAGAGTCCTCTTCATAGAAAAAAATTTATGCCACAACTTCCATCGGCAAAAGATAGAGAAACAGTTGAAGCATGTGGATTATTTTCAGCAGTGTTTACAGTTACAGTAGGGGATATTGCAGAAGACCTTCTTCATTTTATGAATAATGAACAAGCAACATTTAACGACATAGAACAAGTAGGATTAACAGGAGTTATTACAAATTGTTATCCACCAAATAATGGAGGTAAAATAGTTCCATTAAATATTTGGAATTTTTGTTTTGGAGATGGGTTAAGAGTAAGTAGAACAAACAAAAATATAAGCGTTGTACCATTTGTTATGACAGATGCCATGGCTAATACCAAATATGCATGTTTCTTAATTGCTTATTTTAAAATTGAAAAAGAAATGATTAAAAAAATCCAAGAAATTATTCCAAAAACACCTGATGAGTTATATGCACCATATGCTGTTGGAGTAACAAGTGATTTTCCATTACATACATTTATGAGGAAATGGTTAAAGTCATTATATGAAATAAATGTAGAAAATGATATGAAATTTACAGATTATTGTCACCAAGTAATTTTTATGACTGGAAAACCATCATTTGGAAATTTATATTCATATGATTTTGGACAATTAGGATTTAAGATTGAAATTCAACTCCCTTGTTTAAATGGATTACCACCAATACCTACTAGTATTCTTCCATTATTTGAAATGATTGGAATTGATGGAGTACTTGCTGTATGGCTGGCATTATTAGAAGGTGAAAAAGTAATAATTACAAGTACATCAAAAACTGCATTAGTATATTCAATAGAAAATTTAAAATCATTATTATTTCCATTTGAATGGTGTAATATTTGTATTGATTCATTACCTTATTCGTTAATTGATTATGTAAGTTCTCCAATGACATATTTAATGGGAGTGCCATCAGAATATAAAGAAGATGTAGAAAAAATTATTAAAAATGAAGAAGTAGTGTATGTTGATTTAGACAGTGGAGTAGTAAAGTCAAAAGGAATAATAAGAGAAGTTCCAAAATTGATAAATACAGTATATCATGAACTTAAAGATGTTTTTAATAAAAGAGAATATTCAAATGGCAATATTAATTCAGATATATTTGATGAAAAATATTATTTACATAAAAGTGAAGAATTTAATTGTGCAGTTAGAATTATATTATTTAAATTTATTAATGTTATGTTAAATGAATATAGAGATTATATTGGATATACTTGGATTGCAGATAAAGAGTCTGTAGTTTTTTCTTCAGAAGAATTTATTTATAATCAACCATCAGACAGAAGAGACTTCTTGAAAGCATTATTTGAATCTCAACACTTTTCATTCTTCCTTCAAAATTTCCCAAAAAGACATGACCATATATTTGAAGACTGGCAAATAAATAATATTTATTTGATTAATACTAATGAACTGATTCAAATGTATTCAAAAGAATATCATCCTATTACTTCAATTATTCAAACATCAACAGAAAAGAGTCTTGAAGTATCTCCAATTAATACATTAGTATTGGACTGTGGTAAACTTAAATCATTAAGAGTAAGAAATACTGTGGTTAATTCACAATTAGAACCAAAAATGTATCATAATCATTTAGAAGGATTTAAAAAACAAAGAGTAAGAGAAGTTTTTAATAATGATATAATACAATTTAGTGATATTCAAATTGGAATATTAGTAATGATGAATGAAGGAACAACAAAGAGTCTTGACACAGATTTGTTATTTAATTTTTTATCACAAGTTGAAGGAAGAAAAATATTTACACAACGACTAATGAGTAAATACACATCGTTTTGTATTAACAAAATGGAAGGTAGAATAAATAATATAGTTTATGCTGTAATTGGTGATATTCTTCGACAGGAAGCAACATATGCATATTCTCAAAAAGACTATATGACACCACAACATATTATTGAATTATCTCAAATATTATATAAAATAGAAGGGAATCAAAAAATTAAATTAATTAATAGTTTAATTGAATTAGATATTTGGAATCAAATGGATGTATGGAATAATATGTTTATGAGATTAATGTGTATTGGAAAGTCGTCTATTTATCAGGAACAATATGGATTAGATCTTCCATCAAGATGGAACTTGTTTGACTCAAACCAACAAACCCAATATAGAATTGCAGAAACTCAAGACTTTAAAAAAAATTTATCAACACTTTTAGATACAATGAAAATTGTTAGAGTAAATGATAAAACACTCAATCAATTTGTTGGTTATATATTAAGCCAAATGAGGTTTGATGAAATATTTAGAAAAGAAATTGATAAATTAGTGAAAGAAAAATGTCCTTCTCAAAATAGCCTTACAATTAATGATTCTAAAGAACAATTATTAGCTGATATGAGAAAATTGTATGACTCTGTGTATCTCACTGAAGATTAAGTATTTTTTTTGTTATTCAAAATAAAGAAATTTTAATTTAAAAAAAAAAACGATAAAAATATACTAAAAAGAAAAAAAGAAAGAAATTATTAACAATATCTGATTTTTTGTTGATTTAATTAATAAAAAAGAGTTATAAAAAACTATAAAAAGATTTTCATAAGAAAAAAGAAGCACAAAGAAATAACCAAAAGAAAGTTGAATTTTTTTTTAGAACAGAACTAAAAGAATAACCAATCTCAATAACTTGATTTTAACATAAAATGAATGTCCTTAAAATAAACATCCTTTTTCATATTGGACTATTGTATTTATTTATTTATTGTTCAAACGCAGATGAGGGGATTGTATGTTATTGGAAAGAGAATAATACTTTTGTTCATTACCCATTAGGAGAAGATGGATGGGGATCACCAAATATTTGTGGAAAATATCCAACATCCATAGATGTTGAATGGTATGGAACAGACACATTAGGAGGGAATTATACAATTAAAAAAGGTACAGCTAATGTTGTAGGGGACGACCATATAGAAATTGTACAAAAAGCACGATTGTCATGGGACAATACTGAAGAGTGTGATACATTTGTCAATTTTGAAGAAGGTCATGGACTTAATTCTATTGGATTAAATGAGTTAGGAAGACGATCACATTGGGTATTAGCAAATACACATTTACCTGATCCATTTGTTTTTACATTTGGAGTAAGAGAAATGGTTTGGTCGAATACTTTTTTAAACGTTACAAAGAATAGTGCAGTTTATATGTATACACAAGGTTATGAATTCTTTTATTTTACCAAAAACGAACCAGAAGCATTTGTTCTTTTTAAAGTAATCAATGATTCATGGTTAGAGATTACAGAAAATACTAGACCATTTATACGAACTACAAGAATTAATACAACAGATAAATCATGTATTTATCAATTTTCAACGTATCAATTACAAGAGCCAGATGTAGATAATTCAGATTTTAAAATGATTTCAATTTGTCAAAGACAAGAAGTTCATAGATATGTTCAATGTTTTTGGTCAAAAGGACAATTTACTGATTGTACATGTAAACCTGAAAAATCAGGTTCAGTTAAAACAAGTGATAATTTGAAATATCCTGATTGTCATTATCTTTCATATTTATTTGATCTTTCATTAAATATTGATAATACATACATTGAGTTTGATACAGTTAACACTACTACATGGTCAGATTTTCTTATTCCACAAAGAATGGATTCATTAGTATTTAATTTAACAGCAGAAGGAAGTGAATATATTACAATTAATAATGATTTTTCATTACCAACTTTTGGATTTACAGTTTATGGAGGATTAAAAGTAAATGGTGTATTAACAATTGAAACATGTGCAGAATATTTATTTAATAAATTAGAGTTTAAAGACATAATTATTGATTCATTAATAGATGACAATAGTATAGTATTTGCAGCAGAAGTTAGTTCAGAGTGTAGTAATAAATTAAGAGAAAAAAAGATATTACCAGCATGTGGTAATTCTATTAAAAGATGGATTAAAACAGAAAAAGAAGTAGGATATGAGAATTGTGATTGTGATGTTAAAGATGAGACTTCATTTGAACAATTTGATTGTCTTCCTGTATCATTAATGAAAGATAGTAAATTAGATTTAATAATGAAAAGAAGTCAATTTGATGGAGGAGAAAATGATAGATATTGGGAAAATATAATGTTCAGTGGAAATGGTAATAAAACACTTAAAGGAAAAAGTCATCATATTAAAAAATGTACATTTAGTAGTGGAAGATCATATATAATAGATACAAATTTATATTGTGAAGAAGCTATTATTGAAAAATCTGTTAATCTTGATGTTCAAGGAAATATTGATATTAAAAATTTGATTATAGAAGGAAATTATCATAATTTTAATCAACAACCAATTATTAATTTAAGTAATACATCTAAATTAACAGGTCTTAAATCAATAAACTTTCAAAGTATCACAGAATGTATTGAATTAATATTAACAAATAATAATTATGATCAAATTGATACTAAAGAAATTGAATGTACGTATGGAAATGATGCATCTAAATGTAATATAATTTTAACAGAAAAATTATTTAGAATATGTCCATCAACAAATGAAAAATATGAGATAGAATGTGTTGTATATGGAAATAATGATAAAAAATGGTTTGAATATCCACAATGTCCATGTTTAGAACAAAATTGTACAATTTTGGTTCCAACAGAAATAACACAAATGAAAAATGAAATAAAACAGACTAATTTCAATGGGAAAATAATAATAAAAGGAGATATTACATTTATTAATTTTGATGTATTTAATAATCTTATTGTTAATAATACAGAAAATAATAATATAATAAGTATTACTTTTCAAGGAAATAATACAGTAATTAATAATATTCAAGGAAATAATATTAAAGTAATTATTGAAGAAAGTGTTATTATTAATTCATGTACAATTACAAAATTATCAATAAAATCTTCAAATAGTATTAAATTAAATTATGAAGATGTTAGTATTGATACAATTTATGATACAGAATTAAGTAATATTATTCTTACTTCTAAAGTTAAAAAACTTTCTGTTAATTCAATTCAAACTGATGAATATTTATTAAATAAACCATTAATTGAATTAGAAAATTCAAAAGATGAATTAGAAGTAACATCTGGAACAAAGTGTAATTATTCTAAAGTCTTTATGATTACTAAGAAAAGAACAATTAAAGGAACAATAACACTTTCATGTGATAACCAAATAGCATTAATTCATGGAACGTCAATAATAAATAATAATGAAGAAAAAGAAGATGAAAAAAGAATATGTGAAAGAATAGGATTTAATAAACATTATTGTTATAATAATAACAATAATTATATTATTAATGAAGAAATTTTAGATACAGACTATTCATGTCCTTGTAATATGAATAATGGAGTGTTTTGTATTATTGGTATATTATCAACTAATGAAGTGTTTAAATTAGATAAAAATATAAATGAATTAATTATTAAAGAATCAATAACGATTGAAATGGAAGAATCAATAATTATTTTAACTATTTTAGAAAATGATGTAAATATTAATATTAATGGTAATAAAAATTTAATTCATGTAAATACAAGTACTTCTACTAGAATTTCTTTTTCAGGAACAGAAAATACTGTTAATATTTTAACAAATGGGTTGACATTAAAGCCAGTGGATAGTAATTCGTTAATAGTTACTAATAGTGAAATAAATTACTGTACCATTTTATATTTTAATGAAGCACATTCTTTTGGTTGTTTAAAATGTGGAGATTATATTCCAAATAATGGAGAATGTCCAAAACATAATATTATTACGAATTGTTTAAAATATATTAATAGTGGACATTGTGTAGAATGTAAAGAAGGATATTATTTGGTTATTGATGAAAAAAATCAAATGCAATGTAATAAATGTGGAGAAGGTTGTTTAAGATGTACTTCTGATAGTTGCATACAATGTGTAGAAGGAAAACAAATAGATGGAAATAAATGTACAAGTGTTAATGAAGATAATTGTGAGATATATAAAAATGAACATTGTTTAAAATGTCCAAAAGGAACATTTAGTCAAGACTTACAACATTGTAAAGAAGAGTGTGATAATTCATGTGAATTATGTTATTCAGATAATTTAATGTGTCCAATTTGTAATACAAAAGAATTATATTTTATGAGTAATAATGAATGTCAATTAAGTGATTCTGCATTAAGTGTAAGTCATAAGAATGAAATTATATGTAAGAGTGGATATCATTCTTCATCTAATAGATGCAAAACATGTTCAGATGGATGTTTAGAATGTGATACAGAAAAATGTATTAAATGTGATGAAAATTATTTATTATCATCAGGAAAATGTTTAGATAATACTGGATGTAATAAAATAGAAGATGGAAGATGTTTAAGTTGTAAAGAAGAAAGAAATTATTATAATATAGAAGAACATAAATGTATTGAAATAGATTCTGATTGTGAAATAATTGATTTAAAAGGTAATTGTATTGAATATAGAACAAATGAGAGATATACCAATAATATGAAAGAAAGTTTTATTCAAACAAATGAAGTAGAATGTGTAATGAAAAATGGAGTGTGTAGAGTTTGTCCTGATGGTTATTATTCAAATAGAATAACTTGTGATAAATGTGGAGAAAAATGTATTAGTTGTAAAGATAATACCAAATGTAGATTATGTGAAAAAGGATATAGTGTTGATGAAAATGGAAATTGTGTTAATACAACAATTCCATACTGTACTAATAAAATAGATAATTTCTGTATTAGTTGTGAAAATGGATATTATCCTAATGGAATTACATGTGAACCATGTATGAATGGATGTATTACATGTATTAGTAAAGATAAGTGTCAACGTTGTTCATCAGAATTTTTATTAAATAACGACAAATGTATTACAAAAGAAGAGGCAAAAAAAGATAAATGTATTTCAATAGGAACAAATGAATGTAGAGAATGTGAAGAATCTTATTATATACAAGAAGGACAATGTGAGTCATGTGAAAATATTGTTACACATTGTTTAAAATGTAATCCAATGAAAGGGATTTGTATAACATGTGAACATGAATATATAATAATTGATGGAAAGTGTATACATTATTCAGAAATGTCTCATTGTAAAGATGCATTAGATGGAAATTGTAATGAATGTGATAATTGGTATGCATTAGCATATGATCGAAAAGGATGTGTAAGATATACATCAGGATGGAGTGTAGCATTAATAATAATAGGAATAACTTTATTTATTGGATTAGTAATATTAATAATAATAATTATTATTATTAATTATAATAAATATGAAGAAAAAATCAAAATGAAGAGGATGAATGGAATTTTTGCATTAAGACATTGTACTGTTACAATGATGAATTATCCTACTATTCCAACTATTTTAACTAATACTACTTTAATTGAATTCCAAGAAACAATGGAATTAAATAAAGAATATACAAAAGGATTTTATATTGGAAATAAAGGAAAAAATCTAGTTGAAATATCATTTAAAATTAACAAAGACCAAAGGTTTAGAATAGAATTTTCACCAGAAAAATTAATTTTACAACCAAATAAATGTTGTTATATTAATTTGTTATTTATGCCATATTGTTCATTTAATATTCAAATTCCATTTCAAATTATTATTGTTGAAGATAATATTAAAAAAGGAATATTAGACTTTAAATTTAGTGCAAATACGATTGAAAGTTATAATACTGATCCTAATTTAATTCAATATGATAAGGTATTAAGAGAAAATTATAATATTATTGTAACAAAAGGTTATTATAATACTACACCAGTAATAATTAGAAATATTGGTATGTTTAATTATACTGGTGATGAACAAAAAGAATATGAACAACCTCTGACGATTTTAGAAACATTAAATTCAAATAATTATATCAGTAATTATATTGGTAAAGTAATGTTATCTAATAGTAATTTAATTATTACTGAATTTGCACCAATGGGAACGTTACAAGATATTATTGATAAAAAATTACAACTACCTCCTTTATTACGTTCTCGTATTATTCTTGACGCTGCAAAAGGAATAGCAGTTCTTCACTCAAAAAATTATTTACATTATAACATTAAACCTGCAAATGTTTTATTAATTACAGATGATTTAAATGAATGCTCTGTTGCTAAAATAACTGATTTTGGTTATCAATCAAATTATAAAAAATTTAATAATCATAAAATCGAAGTTGTTGATCGTCCTACTTATATTGCACCTGAAATTATGTCTGGTCAAAAATTTACTTCAAAGGCTGACATTTATTCTTTTGCTTTAACAATGTATGCTATTGATACTCTTACTAACCCTTATCCAATTAATGAATTTCCTTATCCTTGGTCTATCTCTAAATTTGTTTGTATTGGTAGAAGACTACCTCAACATCCAGAAATGGGAAAAGCTTTATATGATATTATTACTAATTCATGGGAACAATGTCCAGCAGATAGATTTTCAATAGATGAAGTTGTTCATGACTTAAAAAAATTACAAAATTAATTTTAATTCTTCTTATTAATAACATTTCTTTTATAAAACAACAAAAAAATAATAATAACAAATTGTTCATTGAAAACAAAATTCAATTGCAAACAAAAGGATAAACTGCTTTATATGATGCTTTACTATCTAATATTCCTGTGTGTGTATATTTTCCTAAATTCTCAAATGTCTCTGCTCCAATATTTTGACAAAATTCTAATGAATTCAAATTAACCGTACCATCTCCATCACTATATAAAAGTTTACTGTCACTATCATAACTTTCATTTTCCATTTCTACTCCATCAATGCTTTCATGTCCTGATGATATTAAACAATGCATTTTAATAGGGAATGGTAATTTATAATTATATTTTTCATATAAATCTTTCATTCCATGTTGAACTCCATGAAGATAATTTTCTTGGAAGAGAGGATCATCTAATGTTTTAATTAATTCTTCTAACTCATCTGCATTATATGTTTTTCCTGTTGATTTAATTTTCATTAATGTTTGTTCTCCAAATATTTTTGTTCCTCCTATTGGGAATAATAATGCAACTGTTTCTGTTCTTCTTGCAAATGGTCTAATTTTTGATGCTCTAACAGGAAGTCCAAGATTATTTCCTGGAAATGCTGCTGCAATAGATTTAACTGATCCAAGGAATGGTGTTGACATTGCAACCCAATTATCAATGTATTTATCTGCAAATTCTTTTCCTACATAGTCTAAAAATTTATAAAACATTAATCCTCCCATTGAATGTGAAATAACAACTACTTTTCCATATTTATTATATGTGTTAATTATTAATTCCTTAGTGTCTTCAAACCAATTTCTTTTATGTTTATATTCTCCATATCTATAGTATCTCCAATCATATGATGCTCCTACCATATTATCTCCATCTACATATCCTAATTTCTTAAATTTCTTAATTAAATCATGAAAACATTTTGCAAATATGGATAATGGAAAATTAGGATCAATTTCATCACATGCATATGTACTTCCAAATTTAGGAGAAAGGATATTGACTCCTTCAATATCAATTTGTTCTTTAGTTTCTGAGTTCCACGTTGGAGTAAGATATCCTAAAATACAATCATTATTAAAAGGATTTAAATCTTTTAAAGCAATCCATAATCTTTGATAATCAAGATGAGTATCACAATCACTTGGTAAAGGGGTTTGGGAAATATCAGCAATATCCACTTCAGCTTCTAATATTGAAGCTAGAATACCTGGAATAAATACAATTGGTTTTTTGGCTGGACATTCTTCTGCATAACTGTTTGAGATAAGACACAAAACAATAATGATCAATGACACAGCCATGGTTTAGGTTCAACTGTTAATAAGATATTCTTCCTTATTTATAACTTCCAATATTTTTTTTTCTTTCTTCACTGAATTTTCTTTATGATTTGTTATTACCTATTTTTATTCTTTTTCGATTTTCTTTAAGCCAAGAATGTCATAAACTTCCCATGTTATCTTTCCTTTATTTCATTTTTTTCAATTTTCGACTTTATTAAATAGGACATTCGGACTATTCCTTCTTTATTTTATCTTTTTTCTTAGTATTTATTCTGCTTTGGCAGCATTTTGCTGTCAAAATTCATCAATTAAACCATCGATTTTTCGGTAGTTTGGATTTAAATCTTTTTAAATCCATTCAAAATAACAAAAGTGTCATTTTCTTGTGTTTCAAAGAATATTCTTTTTGTTGTTGTTTTTTTTTCAAGAGACAAATCTATTTATGTGTTGTATAACAGTATTAAAATTACATTCATATTTATTTGTATGAAACTGAACAAAAATAATAAATAATAAACAATAAATTTATACAAAAAAACTTACCAGTCACAGTTGAACATAAAAACAAGATGTAAAGAAGTAAACATTCTTTAACTTGGATAAAGAACGATAAGTTGAGTTTTATAAATAATGACAGTAAGTTAATGAAAAGAAAAACAAAGAATAAGTCATAAAAAGAATGTTGTTGTCTGAGGAAATGGTTTTATCAAATTATTTCTCAAATTCCAATCTATGGTAAACATAATAACAAAAGAGTAAATTATATTCGACATAAAAATGTATCAGGGACATTCATTATGAATTAAAAGCTGAATGAACATTTTAATTATAGAGCTTTATCAAAAGAAAACTGAATTTAAAGCATATGTATATAAATAAAGACAATACTAATAACTGTTTTTAGATATAATTCCTAATTTATCTTTTTTTATAAATTATTAGTTTTTGCTTGACTAATCTTTCAATTGATAAATTTATGTTTAGTTGATTTATTGATACTTTTTAATTTAGAGCTTTGTTTTTTATTGAATATTGATATTATTTATAAATGGGTTTATTGTTTGTAATAGTTAATAAAATTAATAATTCTTTATGTAAAACATACCAGATAAACGAATCATATTATGAGATAATAATAACAATTATTTAAACCAAAATTATTTTCATCCTTTTATAATACCTAATAACATTTATTTAATTAGAAGTATATTTTATAATATTATTTCATCTAGTTTATATTTAGTTATTCTATTATTCAGCATTTTTATTTAATACTCTTAATATTATTACATCAACAAATTCGTTCATTTTCATTTTATTATGAACTACAAATGTTTTCATATTAACTTATTCTGTTAGTGAACTATGATTATTATTTCTGTAATAATTTTTCTAAGTATCTTTCTTGTTGCTTTGTTTTATTTGTTTCTCTTCATTTTTAGTATAACTGTAATGAGTTTTTATATTGGTATATTTAATATTAGATGATTGAATATCAAAATTTATATTGTATAACGTCATATTTATTCACTGTCTTGGTAGATTATTTATTGTTTCTCATTTGGTACAATGTATTATCCTATCATTTCTCCATAGCTTGTTGCTTATATTATTTTGTTATGATAAATATTTCTTGTGATAATTTAGTTCAACATATTTCTGTTGTATAGAACATTCAAAGTTAGTTGTCATATTTCTCAACCAAAATAAAATAAGCATCACAAAACAAAGCAAGAACAGAAATAAATCCAAGAAATAAAAATTTGAATACACTTTTCTTCATGATAAGTATTTGAATATCCAATATTAATAGGTACTAGAATATACTAATTTCTTATGGATTTAGTGAATATTATGAACGTGTCAGATTTATTTAAATTGTTTAGTTTAATCTTTCAAATATCAAAACAAAGTGAAATGGAAGAATTGATGAATAATAAAACTATTAAAGAAGTAATAAAAACACTTCCAAGCATACAACAATCAATTGAAGAAACGACAAAACAATACCAATATTATTTAGGCAGTAATAAAAATGAAGTGTTTGAAAAACAAGAGAATGAGACATTTGAAGAAGCTATTAAAAGAGGAGAAGGAATATTTGATAGGATGAATGAAGTAGTTAGAAGAAGAAGATTAGTGATAGAAAAAGGGAAAACAACGATGAGTAAAATAGAAGATATTAAGAATAAAATGGAAGTAATAATGAAAGACTGCAGTGATGATGAAGAGACACTAGGAAAAGCAAAGAATAAAATAATAGATAAAATCATTAAAATAGAAGAAATGAAAATGGAAGACAAAGTCACAAAATTAGAATATGAAATTCAGAGAATTAATGAAGAAATTAATTATATTAAAAAGGAATTTAAAGATAAAAAAGAAGAATGGGGAAAACAATATAGTGATTATCCTGAAAGAAAGAAGAGATTAGAAAATATGAAAGGAATGATAAAAATGGAAGAAATGAAAGAATTAGAAGAATGGACAGAAAAAAGATTTGGAAATATACTAATTGATTCAGATAAAGATGATTGGAATAAAAATACATCAGTATTTGATAGAAGAATAATGAATAAAGAACATATAATAATTATTATTGAAGATGAAAACGGAAATAAGTTTGGAGGATATATTAATTCTAAAATTGATAAAGTTATTTGTTTTATTAATGACCCAAAATCATTTTTATTTTCATTAGAATCAAATGGAAGAATAGATGGTGTATTTCAAGGGATGAAAAAATTTGATATTAAAGAACCTCAATACACTTTTTATCTATGCAATCAATCACATGACTATTTATTTGGATTTGGAAATGGTGAAGATATTGGTGTTGGTAAAGAAAATTATAAAACATTATCGTATTGTGATCAACGTTCATATGAATATGAAGGAATATCAAATGCACTCTGTGGGAAACAACATCCAGAACATTTCACACCAAAAAGAATTATTGCTGTGGAAATGAAATGAAGTTTATTTTAATACTTTTTCTTTCAAAAAGAAAATAAGATCATTATTTGAAGTAATTTCATTAACTTAAATATATTCTTATCATTTTTTAGCACTGTTATTTTCCTATTTCAATACTTTGAATAAGAAAAAGTCATCTAAAATAAAACTAACTGTTTAGTAAATGTAACTACTCTAAAACAAAGATAAGCATTCTCATTTTTGTTATATTAGATAATAAAAATCACTAATATTGTAATGATACTATACTCATTCATTTATATTCATAAATAAAGTAATACATTAAATTTACACAATAATATTATTCGAATTAATATTAAATTATACTATATATTTATAATTAAGATAATATATAATTGAAATAATTCATTAAAAAATTACATGAAAATTGATAAATATAGAATATTTTGATAAATATAATTTGTTAAAAAAACAAATTTTTAAACAATATAAAAATGATTAATTATTTATGAATAAACAATTTTGAATATTTGTAAATGTTCTAATAAAATAAATCAAAATATTCCGATCATTATTTACAATAATTTCTAAAGAATAATATAAATAGTTTGATTGTTAATATCAATGTATAATGAAATAATCGTACAATAAATAGTTGCATATTAGTTTGTAATGGTATTTGTATTTATTGAAGATGATGGATAACTATAAAATAATGACAATTATTTATTATGTTCAATTAATTCTTTGAATTCTTTTTATTTCTTACAGTTATGTATCATTTTATTTGTTCATTTTTATCAATGTATATACATATAAACAAATCATTTTATTTTGTTTATATTATTGAATAAACCGTTTTATTTTTGATTTAACTTGTAGTTAGTTGTTTTTAGATTATTTTTTTAAATTATTATTTGTTCACGTGCTAATTAAAGTATTATTCCTAATGAGATTCATAAAATACACGTATCTAAGCAATTTTAGTTACTTTGATAATCTTGAACGATAAAATTATTTTATTAAATTTTGCTTATAAAAGATTTTAGTACAATATTTACTGATTTGAAGTATATCATTTATTATATTCTATTTTCTTTACAATATTAAACAAAACCTTAGTTTTATACAATACTCAAAATGTTATTGCATTTTTTCTCCATAACTACTGTAAATATTCAAAAAGATTATATATAAATAAGAAAATGCCTTATTGAATTTTAGTAATTACTTTACCTAAAAGTCGATTAAAATTGTAAAATTTAAGAAAAAAACATAAAAATATTCATTTTATATATTATTTCATTGTTTGTTCTTTTTCAAAACGCAAAAACTGTTGTTGATATTTGTATAATTCATTATATGGATAAATCAAAGATAACTTGAAGAAATAATCCATTTGATTAACAAATTATTTATAATAAAATATAATTTAATATCTTTATTCAATTATTTGATAATGTTGATAGTAACCAAAAACTCTATCCAATAATTCTTAGCAATTTTTTGTTTTATATTCATTGTTTGGTTATAACAATTTATTATTTGTATAAATTCTTTTGTAATTCTATTATATTTAAAACTTTTAAACAGATTTTATGTGATTATTAAACTTGTTAAAACTAAGAATAAGCATATCCTTTTCATGAAAATTATAACTAAAATGCTAATATTTGTATTTTCGATATTTCTTATGAAAGAAATAAAATTTTATTGTTCAAATGTTTATTTACTAACTCTTTCAATAATTAGACGAATAAATATTTGCGAAATGTCAACTATAATGTAAGATTTTATAGTTATTATAAACTACCAATACATCAAATGAAATAGTTAATTTACATTAAAAGTACATTAAATCTTTTTGATAAAATTGAATTTTAAAAAAAAAACAACTAATTGAATAGAAAATAAATAATTTTTAACTTTATAATTATTTCAAAGAAGAAATATTCCGTTTAATTTTATGTATATTTAATACCTTCACAATTAAAATGATCGTGTTAAGTATAAATATACAATAAACTTGAACAAGTCATATCAACAAAGTGAAAATTCCAAAAATAAGAATTCCATTTTATGAAAGAAATAATTTATCAGAACAAATGAAATAAGTTTATCTAATAAATAACGTTTACTTACTACCATTTTAAATTCATTAAATAAACACAAAATTATGAATAAAAAGAATTGAAGATTATTTAAAGAATAAAAATAATCAAATAACTCTGTGAATAAAAACCAGAGTTTTTATAACTAAGTACTAGATGACTAGAAAAGAACAAGATCTGGATTTTGGGATACAATCTTATGTCTAATAATCGGTGAACATTTAGTTCCTCGTACAATTAAGGATTTTTCTTGTTTATTATAATAACAACCATTTCTCATATCAAAACAAAACATTTGATCACAATTAGCAACTGTAATATTTAACGAGTTAAATTGACCAGTATAATACATATAATTTAATAATGACTGATCATATCCCCATATATCAACTCTTTGGTAATTAAATTGAGAAGTATAAATTTGAAGTAACCGAAGAACCTTTTCAGTTCCACCAAAAATTGTTCCAGAATTAACAATCTTAGTTTTATTTGCTGCATATAATTCTGCAACTTCTTTATTAATACTTTGTGTCATCCATTTTTTTGTTAGCTCATTTGCCAGAGAAGTGCATGATATATCACCTTTATTATTTCTAGAACATTCATTGCTTAAATATAATTGACTATCTGAAAAGGTAGCAAATCCATCTTCAAAGAAAAAGACATCTCTAAGGTCTGCAATAAACACTCTGTCATATTTTTCTTTATTTTCTTCAAGATATTTTTGTATTACAACATATCTAAGAACTGCCCCATTGTATAATGAATCAACTTTTACTGTAATAACTTCTACTCCTTTTGATTTCATTAAAGAAGCAAAATTAACTTCTGGAGGTTCTCCACATAACAATAAAATTTTTTTAGCATTTGGAATTCCATTTTGATTTAGTGAAAGTGTTTGTAATGTCATTTGACGTTGGTTAAGCCAACTTCCTTTGTTAGAAAAATATACTCCATAAATCAATAAATCTCTTTGATTGTTGGGTTTATATTTAAATGGAACTGCACATTCTTCAGAATAATTAAAGTTATATAGTTTAAATAATTTATCTTCGTATTTTGATTTAACTCTTTGATTTGTTATGATAGGAGCTGTATTCAATTTAATAAGAGCTGGTTGTTTATTACCAACCACATAAATAACAATCAACATAATAAGAATATAGAAACATATTGATATAAAAATACATAAATTTGTTAATGTTCTTGTCATAAATTTACTTTTTAATGAAATAAGTTTATTAAACTCTTTTTTATGATGAAGAATTAAACTTTTTTAAAAATGCGTTTATTATTGAAAATTCTTCCTATTAAAAATTTAACATGTAATTTTACAGCAAATTCTTTTCGTAGATAAATAACATAACGCAAAAGGGGTTGTAGTACTGATTTTGTTAAAATGAAATAATATTGAATATCCAAAACAATAAAACAAAAAGTTCACTCTATCAAATAATATATTCTGATAAGTCTTTAACAGTAGAAACATTAATGTAAGTTATGTTATTTTCTGTATATTTTTATGAATGTTTTGTTTTATCTAAAATACTTTATCATATCATATTCAATATCACAACTCATTGTTACAATCAAAAAGTATGCTTATCAAAAAAAAAAAACAAATAAACAAATACATGAATATGGAATGATAAATTATTGAAGGGGGTGTGATTTTCTATCAGTTAATAATAATTTTAAACAAAATATAGTTAGTAAATATTTATTCCTAATATAAGATTAACGAAAATTATTTTTTCTTTAAGTCTCTAACAAAAGAATTTCTTAGTCAAATGATGTTATTAGACTGATTCGTATATAAAAGGTATTGAAAAATTTGTTTGGATAATATTTTTATGTTGTTAATTATTTTTAATAAAAAAGGAATATTCCAGAATGAAGAAATATTTATTTGCGAACCAAATGTTCTTATTTTGGTTAGATTTTTCATGCTTTTTTTCCTAAATAATTATTTACATAAATACATATTATTAATGATTTTTTATTTAAAAAACTATTTTAATTTTTCTAAATGTAATTTCCTTTATGTATTAGAATTTCACATTTTTACATTGTCATAAAAAAACAGACAAACAAACATAAAAAAATGTAAGAATGAGGGTATTAATAAAAACAAAAATATTTAAAAAAGCCTGACAAATAAATATCAGAAAATAATTATTACTTATTAAATATACAAAATTTTTAGTTATTTTGTTTTATTTTAGAAGCTATAAAATGTTTATTATCTTATTCATAATTGAAAAATTGACATATATTAATTATGCTTTGTTTCACATGGTTTTACTTTTTGTATTTAAATACTGTTTTAAAGTATTACAAATATTCACTGTTTCTTCTGAAAAATTATCCTAAAAAATTATTTATATTACTTTTTATAAAAAATTTAAGTAAATAAAGTGTAATATAGAGTAAATAAGTATGTAATATTTAAATAATCATGATTATTTATAAATATAAATTTATTCATTTTTATTGTATTTTAGAGGATTTCTTTATTAAGATATATTCTTAGAGAAAAATATATTCATTATTTGTATTATACGAGGGTTTTTTACTAAGATAGATCTTAAAAAAATATTTCTATATTTATATATCTTAAATAAATTTATTATAAACTTATATTTAATTTATCTAAGATTAATAATTTTCTTATTTTATTAATTTTTAATGTAATTTATAATTAAAAAAAGCAGTTATTCTCTAATATTTTATTAAATTAGTTTTTAGTACTTTAGAACAAATTTTTACTCTAATATTCAATAAAAATAAATAAAATATATTTTAGAGATTGAAACAGGGCATCTCGACTCTAAAGAGTTTATTTTCAACCCTGAGAAGAACTATTTAAACGAGCAAAATCATTAAAGATACAAACAGAAAAGAAGAATGGCAACAGGAAAGAATAAGAAGTATAAGGCAGGAAACGTTAAGAAGGGAAGCAAGAGAAAGATTGCTGAGCCATTCTCCAAGAAGGAATGGTATAATGTTAAAGTACCAAAGAACTTCAAGAGAAGAACTGTTGGACAAATTGTTGTAAATAAAACAGCTGGTACTAGAATTGCTTCAGAACAACTTAAAGGAAGAGTTGTTGAAGTAAATCTTGCTGATCTCATGGAAAATGAAAAATTTGGAGCATACAACTACAAATTTAAATGTGAAGATGTTAATGGAAAAGATTGTCTTATGATTTTCCATGGACTTAAACTCACAACTGATAAATTAAGATCAATTGTTAAGAAGTGGTGTACTCTTATTGAAACATCAGTTGATGTTAAAACTACTGATGGACATTTAATTAGAATCTTCTGCATTGGATTCACCAGCAGAAAATCCAACCAAATCAAGAAAACTTCATATGCTAAAAGTGCTCAAATTAAGAAGATTAGAAAGATTATGAACAATCTTATCACTAAAGAAGCTGCTTCACGTGAACTTACACAATTTGTTGATTATCTTAGAGAAAACAAACTTCCAAAAGAAATTGTTGCTAAATGTAGCAAAGTCTTCTCAATGGACAATGTCTACATTCGTAAAGTTAAGATTCTTAAGGCTGGTAAAATTGATTCACTTAAACTTCTTGACCAACATCAAGACACTAGTGCACCAGTTGAAGCTGCCCCAGTTGCTGAAGAAAAAGGAGAAGTAGTTGAAGCATAATTGAATTGTAGGTATTAAATTACACATTTAATTTTAGAAAAGAAAATAACATATTTTTGAGTATTAAAAAATGGTATAAAAAACATAAAAAGAATTTAGTTAAAGATAAAATTAATTATTTGGTTTATTTAAAGGATCAAAGAATGGATGTTTTAAAGCATCAGCAGCAGAAATTCTTTTTTCAGGAGTGTAGATAAACATTTTTTGTAAAAGATCAACTGCACGTTCATCTGTATGAAAAATTGTATGAAGATCTTTTGCTTTCCATTTAGGGAAAGTAGAAAGGTAAAAAGGGAGTTTAGTGACACCATTCCAAATGTCTTCAGTTGGAGTTCCTAATTGAGAGAAGATTTTAAATAATTGATCAATTTTACATCTCCCTTTAAACAATTCTTCTTTATTAATTAATTCTCCAAAGATAGCTGCAGTAGACCATATATCTATTGCACCTCCATATTGAGTTGCCCCAAGAAGAATCTCTGGTGCACGGTACCATAATGTAACAACTTCAGAAGTATACTTACGATCATTTATTGTTGTAAGTCTTGCAAGACCAAAATCACCTAATTTAATTGTTCCATTTTTATTAATTAAGATATTTTGTGGTTTCATATCTCTGTGAAGTATTTGATGATAATGGCAAAAAGCAAGTCCTTGAAGTATTTGATATACAATTGATCTTGTTTCATTAATTGGAATTTTTGAAGACCTCGACATAAACTGATATAAATCTTCATCACAAAATTCAAATACTAAATACAAGAATTTATCTTCTAAGTAAATGTCATATAAACTATATTTTATCAGTACTTTCTTTTTATCTTTTTTTATCTTCTTTTATTTATTTTTATTTCATTTTATATTAAACAAACTCTACTACATTAGGATGTTTCAGTTCAAGTAATACAGCTATTTCTCTTACTGATGTAACTGGAATACCATCATCCTCTCGTTCTTGTTTTATTTTTTTAAGTGCAACATATCTATTACAGACTGTGTCCCATGCTTTACAAACAACACCATATGTTCCTTCTCCTAATTGTTGTTTTTTCTCATATCTTGTCATTGTATTTTATACTTCTTTTTTAATACTTTTCTTGTTCGTTTGTTCTTTATACCCTTTTATTTGGCATTTATAATATTTTTAATTCCACATCATCTACTTTTATATTTTATTTAGCTTTTTTTGGTAAATTCTTATTTCTTGTTGCCTCTTCTTTTTATCTTTCTCTTTAATTTATTTTGATTTTTATTATGGTTTATTATTAATTACTTTTACTATATCTTCATTCTTATTGGAATTTGAGTTTTTATTTTTACTCCTTTTAAGTCTCGCTTATAATAAAAATAAAGATTTTTTTATAAAATAATTTGTCTTTTGGAAGCTTGAAGAAGAGATGCTTGACAAGGGTTATTACAAGAGAGATTATAAAACTGTAAATGCAAACCTGATTAGACATTTTTCTAAGCTTTAATGGACTTTGAATCAAAAATAGTTCAATTGAAAGATATTCCAAAATTACAAGAAATCACGAAGATTACTTTCTATTCAACTTATAATGATAATTTACTCAGTCCAGAGGCAAGAGATGCGATTTATAAGTATTTATACAATACTGAACAATTGAAACAACAAATTAATTCAAATTATCAATTTGTTTTTCATTATGTCAATTTACAATTATTTGGTTATACAGGAATTGAATATAATTCTTCAGAAGATTATTGTTATTTGCATGACTTTTATTTATTACCTTCATTCAGAGGTCAAGGACTTGGTCATAAATTAATGGATAAAGTAAAAGATATGGCAATAGAACATCATTATAAAAAAATTCATTTAAATTGTCACCAACAAAATACTGCACGTCAATTTTATGAAAAACAAGGATTTCATTTTGTTAAGAATTTAAATACGATTTTTAATGGGTTTGACCTACTTGATATGGAAATGGAATTTAATTTTTAATTTAAAATTAAGTGAATTTAATTAATATTTAATACCCATAATTATTAATTTTATTATATATAACTTTATTTAAAAAAAAAAAAAATAATATATTGCGAAATGAAGAATATCCTCTGTCTTAGGCGTCTCTGGTCGTATAGTGATTCGAACCCTCTATACACATGTCCAGGCATTCAGTGCTGTTAAAAAAGTATCTGATCGCAATTTTTGATAAATTCTTAAATGAATAGAAAGTGAAGTTATTTTAAAACTATAAAGAAATTATTATTTATAAAAGAAATAACCACAAAATAAAACCATAGAAAAGAACAAGATTTTTTCAGATGAAAAAGTCACAAGTCGAAAGGACAAGAAGAGTTGAAAAAGAGTATTCTTTAGAAGAAACTTCTTTATTTGACTTTTTAAACGGACTTCATGCAATTCAAAAAGTTTGAAAAAAGTTCATTTTAAAAAAACAAAGAAAAAGAAATATAATGTTAATTGGTAGATTCATGTTATTGAATTTGAAGCAAATGAATTAATTCATGACATTATTCAGAATAAAGAAACTATTAAAGTTGATTGTAAATTAAATGATTTAATTGAATTAATACAATTATTTCCTAATTGTGAAATAATTTCACAAACAACATTATTAAGTCCATTTATTATTCAGATATATAACCAAAAAGTTCATTTCATTCTTGAGTCTCAAGAGTATCAATGTTTAGGTATTATAGGTCAATTAGACAAAATAACAAATCGTTATTGTTTGTTCTTTCTATTCTTTATTTATTTAATATATTCATATTTTAGATATTCAAATACCTTTTTCACAATTGGATAAATACAAAGAAAAATTCCTTCATTTTCCTTCAATATCATATCTTATTTGGTCTCCTCAAACAGACAATTTAAAAGAATATTTAACTTCTCATCAAATGTCAATAAAGATCCAACCACATTATTTTATTCAACAACACTATAAAAATTCTCCTTTCGATTTATCAAGTGATAATGTGTATGATTGTATCGGTGGTATTTGTGCTGGTGTCCATTCTATATTAGACCCTTATGATACTGTCTCTTTTAATGTTACTCGTTTAATTAATGGTAAACAACGTAATGTTTATCATTCAATTATTCAAGGTACTCTTCAATTTTCTATCACTAAAAATACTTTCTTATCATATAATTCTTGTCCTAAAGTTATTGTTCTTTATTGTTACAACTCAGCTCCACTTCTTAACAAAGAAGTACATCATGGATTTAATCAAACAAATAACAGTATGATTATTACTCTGCTTTTTAACGAGAATAAAGTCAAGACTTTTGTTGAATTTCCTTATTGTGACCATTTCTCACTACATTGAAACTATACTTAAATAAAAAACTTAATTATTTTATTCTATTCTTCCTTTGCTGTTTAAAAACTAAAAACTTAAAAATTAAATTAAACTCTTTATTTTAGTTATCAATAATATGGCAGAAACAGGTTCTATGGTTACATTAGTTAGCTGTGACAATGAGAATTTTCAAGTAGAAAAAGCAATTGCACAAGAAATTGGAGCAGTTAGAAATTTATTAGAAGACTTTCAAACTGAGAAAATAATTCCATTGACCCAAGTAAATAAAGAGACTTTAAAGAAAATGATAGATTTTATTAGCCATCACCATCAATACCCTTTCCTTGGAGGAAATGAAAGTGAAAAAAAAGGACAATTAACATCATGGGACTATTCTTTCTTCGATTTGGACCAACAAAAATTATTTGAATTAATTATCGCTGCAAACAATTTAGACGTACAAGTATTATTAGAATTAGGTTGCAAATATATTGCTGAAATGATTAAAGGAAAAAGTGTTGAAGAACTTAGAAGTACTTTTGGAATTATTAATGATTTCACCAAAGAAGAAGAAGCAGAAATTAAACAAAAGAATAAATGGTTAGAAGAATTTGTTTAATTCATATCTTAATTTTCTTTTTTTTAGATCTTTATAAACAAGAATTTAAAATTAAACTTCATTTCATTGAAAAATCAGTATAAATAAATGTTAGATAATTAAGTGTTTATATTTTTGTCATATATCCTTCCTTTTTCAGTTGAGATTAATCCAATCGTACTTCCTAACAAATAAAAAAAAAACATAATGAAAAATATAAATGAATAAAATTCCAACATATTGAGAAATGATTGATTAAGTTGATTCAATTTATTTGATATTAATGTTTTTTATTTTTATTTTTATTTTTATTTTCTTTTTAGTTGGTTATTTCATTATTAAGATTATCATTTTTATTTCTTGTATATGTTGATTGTTCATTCAATTAAATGGTGTTATTGTGTTTATTTGATTTAGTATTAACATTAACATTTATCTCATTTCTTTTGTTATTATTCAATGTTCTTTCGATTTTCTTATGAATAAATACCATTTGGATATTATTTTATCATTATTCTTATTGTTAATTGCTTTTCTGTTATTCTTTGTTTTGTTGATTATTGAAGTATCTATCAATTATTAATTACTATAACAAATTATTCTTTGATGTTTGAATGTGTTGATTTAATGGGATGTTTGTGTGTTTGAAATGTCACATTCAAATTGGTTTGAATGTTCCAGAATAACATCGTAAACTAAAAAGATGTTATTGTTAGTTAAAAGAAGAATGAAAAGAAGAAAGAGAATAGAAAGAATGAGTGAAATTATCAAGAAATGATTTAATTTGAACAGAAGATGCATGAGGATTTGAATTGAACCACGAGTTTATGATTTGAATTTCATTAGATTTACCTTGTTTTTTAAGGATATGAAGAAGACGATTTTTTTCAGAGTGAAGACTTTTGATTTTCTTCAATTCAACATCTTGAATATCTAACAAATTGGATCGTTGAATAAGTGTTGGAAGATTTGCTTGCTTGTCTTTTTGTTTCTTGTTACTCACTTCAATTTCTTCTTGAAGCTTTAATTCTTTAGGTTCTATAGTTCGTGCAATGACATGAATCGTTCCATCTAATGTAATTTCACATTCAACTTCAAATCGAACTGCTCCTGCTGGAAGTTCAGGAAGTCCACTGATAGTAAATGTTTCTAAATAACTTAATTCTTCTTCTGTATTTCCTTCTCCTTCAAAAATTGGAAAACATGCCGTTGTTGAATATCCATTTGATGTTTTAAATTCTTGAACATGTTTTACTGGTAATCTTGTAAATCTTTTAATTAATGTACTAAATCCTTGTTTTGTTTTTAATTGGATTGAATGAGATGTAATATCATTATATGTTGGAATGTTTATATCCTTTTCTTCTTTTTTTGAATTTATTTCTTCTTTCTTTGAATTTATTCCTTTTACTAATTCTTCATTATTTGTATCTGTTTGTTTATTTATTCCTTCTTTAAAAAGTTCATATCCAACTAATGCTGCTCCTCTTGCAACTGTTTGGTCTGGATCAATTTCTCGGTTTGGAATAAGATCAAAATATTCACTTACCATCTCTCGAATTTTAGGAATTTTACTTGTCCCACCAACAAGAATAACTTCTTCTACACTTTCTTTTCTTATACCTTTCTTTTGCATTGTTTTATCTTCAAACATACGTTCAATACATTTAATACATTTCTCAAAAATTTCTTTACTTGCTTCTTCAACTTCTTGTCTACTAATTTCAATATTTATTATTTCTTCTTCTTCTTCATAAAATTCACTCAAATCAAATGTACATCGTTGATTAGTACTTAAAATAATTTTAATTTCTTCACTTATCTTTTCAATTCGATATTTCTTTCTTTTATAACTCTCTTCTGCTTTTTCTTTATCAATCTCTTTCCATTTCTTCATTAATATTTCTTCTACTTTTCTATCTATATCTTTTCCTCCTAAATGTCTTTCTCCTTCAGTTGCTATTACTTGTTGATTTCTTTTATTCATTCTAATTAATGTTATATCAAATGTTCCTCCTCCAATATCAAATACAAGTATTGTTTTCCCTTCACAATATTTTTTATCATATCCATATGCAATTGCTGCCGCTGTTGGTTCATTTATTATTCCTATAACTTCTAATCCTGCTATTTCTCCTGCATATATCGTTGCTTTTCTTTCTTCATCTTTAAAATGTGCTGGTACTGCAATTACTGCTTTACGAGGTGCTATTTTATATTGTTCTTTAGCTTCTTCTATTAATTTCCGTATTATCATATTCCCTATTTCTTCCCCTGAATACCATTCCTCTTCACTTACTCCTATCTCTACTTCCCCATTCCCTGCATTCCGTCGTATTCGATACTCTAATTTCTCCCCTTCTTTCTCTATCATTTCATCATATTTCTTCCCTATCAATCGTTTCGTATCATATATTATCACCCCTTGTGAACTTCTTCTCGCTTCTTCCCCTATTATTCTCCCTTCTTTTGTAAATCTTACTATCGACTCAATCTTTTCTTTCCCTTCTTTACTCTTTATCACTTCAACCCTTTGATGATGTTCATCATATCTTGCCATACATGAATTTGTCGTTCCTAAATCTATTCCTACTACATACTCTTCATTCATTTTTTTGCTTTTTATCTTTTCTTTGTTTTTTTGGTTTTTCTTTAGATTTGAAGTTGGTATATCAGAAACACCACACAAACCCTAAAATAAATCAAATCATTACGTCTTCAGTAATTATCTGGTTATGACGTTGCTTTTGGATAGAGAATATATTACCAATTCTGCAAAGAGTGAAGTAAGATATTATGACTGTAATGTTGTTCACTTATTATAATATATCAGAAAGAATATATAATATAAAAGATAAAATACAAGAATCATAACATAAGAAATAAATAAAAATCAAGAGATATTACAAACATGAAAAAGAATGAACGTAATGATAAAATTATTTTAAAATGAATAAATACTAAATGTAATTCATATATTCAAAATTAGTTACAAGAAATGTATTAATAATTTAATCTATAAAAGTTGAATACACGTAATGAAAATCCAATATAATTGAAACATTAATAAATCATACAACATTTAGATCATATATCCCTCATATACATAATAATGAAAAAGATACAAAGTTATTGAGATACATATTGAAGTGAAGAAATAATTAAATACCATAACCAGTAAATGTCATAAAGAAATAGAAAATATAAATATACAATATCCCCTTCATTGAATAATATCGACAGGTTGTTCAATAACATTTCATTATAACAAGGAATTATTGTTATGAAATAATATATCTTCAAAACAATAAAATGAAAATATCTCAACCATAAATTTGAATGAATTAAATAATACAAAAATTATAAAAAAATTGATGAATATAAAGATAAGATAGTAGAAAGTATTACAGTTTTGATAAATAATGCATGAATTATTCTTAAATTAATGATAGAAATCTAAAGAAATAGAAAACGAAATTAAGACAAAAACAATACAAAATAAATGAGAGAGAATAAACATTAATTATAATGATGGAAATTTTGATGATGTAAACTCATAACAAAATATATTAAAAAAATACTCAAATAATTGAGTGAGAGATGAGGGTTTTAACAATAATTATATTTCAAACAATAAAAATTAAATATATACACTAATCAATATTTTAGATTCTTTTGTTATGTTTATTTTTCTTTTACATTTAGGTTATTGTACTTTTCTTTTAGACATTATTTTAAAGAATTGTTTATTTTGTTTTCTTTTTTATCTTTTTTCTACATTCATTTTTCATGATTTGTTACTGTTAGTAAACTTTTCATTATCTATGTCAATTGTTACGTAGTTCTTGAGAGTAAAAACTATTAAAAATTTACACTTTTGATTAATTAACTCAACATCTAACAAATAAAAAGCTACTCAAAAGTTACGACCTAACAAACAAAATAAAAATATCATTGATATTCTTCAATTCTTTGTTAATCTTTTCTTTCATTAAAACTAACTTAAATATCATTTTTCTTATAAACCATTAAAATATTTCTTATTTGATTATTTAATTATGGATCATTATTCTTTTAGAACATAAATGCTAACATGACTATCATCATCATGATGAAAATGCCTTTAGCTCCATTACACTTTCCATCTTTTAATTTCCATCCATCTTCACATGTTGTGCATTCACCTTCTCCTGTACATTTAGTACAATGTGGCATATGTCTTGAACATGGAATACATGATCCCCAACTAGATGTGTAATATCCTTCAACACATACACATTCTCCTCCTTTTGCTTCTAAATATTCAGCATTGCATCTCAAACAGTCTTTGGAATTACATGAATCACAAAACTCATTAACTTTAGCTTTGCATGATTGACATTCAATTTTATTATCTTCTGTAGAAGTGCCTTCAACATATCCATATGCACAAACACATGCTCCATTCACTGGTACTTCAGCAATATGATCTTTTGTTGAACATTTAGTACATTCTTCTACTATTTTCTTCTTCTCAGAATTACATCCTGTTTCTTGTTCTTCACAATCTTTCTTTACTCCAACACATTTAGTGCATGGTGATGTGCATGGTATACATGTTCCTTTAATCTCATCAAAATAGAATCCATCTACACATGCATTACATCCATTTCCACTAATTACCTTGTATGTATCACTCTCACATACTGTACATTCTGCGGCACTACTACATTCACTACAATGATTGGTACATGGCTTACATTCACCATTTGACATATAATAGCCTGTTTTACATTCATCACATTTACTTCCTATCTTTAATGGATCAGTACATGTTAAACAAGTGTCTTTATCTGAACATGTTGCACATTTATCATCACATTTAGCACACCCATTCTTTTCTCCTTCTTTTGGATAATAATTAGACTCAATACATGTAGTACAATTACTATAAGGACTACGTCCACTAAAACCATCTGAACATTCTGTTGCATAGATATATCCTGTTCTACTATCAACATTACATGTGTCAGTAGTTTTACATCCTGGATATTTTGAAAGGTCAGAGCAACTTTGACACGTTCCATTTTCAAGTTGAACTGTTCCTGTTAGACAAGCACATGTTGGTGGTTTAATGTCTACAGAACTTTGGTCAGTGCATGTCACACATTCAATCTCCTTTTTATCGGCACTATATTTACATGTTTTACATTTTGCAGGACATGGACTACAATACACTCCATCTGTTGGACTTTCAATTTGATAAAATCCATCTTTACATACAGTACATTGTGCATTTGAACCACTAGCAGCAAGAACTAAATTAGTGTCTTCACATATAATACATGCTGTTGCTGAACATGCTGAACAATGTCCATATTTGTCCTTTTTAGTAGAACAAAGTTGGCATTTATTATTTTCATCTTTAAAAGCATTAGAAGCACACTGGGCACACTCCTTTGTTTGTGAATCAACAATATAAGCTGAGTCATCACATTCAAGACATGTAATAAATCCATCACTAATCTTATAGTGACCTTCTTCTTTGCAATTATTATTTAGTTGTGCACAACTTTTCTTCTTATCTTCTGCATTTAGTCCTTCTTTATACTCAGGAGTATCCTTTTTGCAAGCGCATTCATTATCTTTATCTCTTGTAGAGACACCTTGAATATTTTCATAACATTCACTACATACAACTTTACTTTTAGAACTATCATAAGAGCAACTAGAACAACTAGCTGGACATTCTTGACATTTATTGTTTTGATCAAAATAATGTGCATCACCACAAGAACATTTACCATTACTATCTACATGTGATCCAACTGGACATTGTGTACAAATGTTTTCATTGGCTGCTCTTTCACATGATGGAAGTTTTGTTTTGATTGAAACACAGTCTGATGCTTTGTCAACTGACTTTGGAATATATTTGTCATTACATTCACAATCATTCTTAACATCTCTATCCTTACCAACACAGCCAATAGTAATTTTATTATCTGAACCTTTAGTAACACTGAAATAATATGGTAAATAAAGATCCTTAAGTGGACAATAATAAGTATTATCAGATGCTTTAAATGCATTCAAATATTGTTCATATTGATCATATCCTCTCATCTTACACACTTGATGGTTGTTACCACTAGTACCAAGGACTTTTTTAACATCAAAATTATAGCAATGAGTTCCATTCAATGTAAGTCCATTCTCACATTTATAACAAATAGTATCATCATCACTACATAATAAACATCCTGGAAGTTTGCATGGCCCATCAGTTGATGTTAAGTGTGCACTTCTAAGATTTAACTTACCTGGAACTGGTGTTTGGGAAGTAAGACATTCAGTAAATGGATCTGGACAAAGTGAACATCTCTTTTTATCTCCATCTTTTTCTAAATAATAACCTTTTTGACATTCTGTCTTTGCAGATGTTTTGAAACCATCATTTAAATTTGGTGAACACTTTCCTGCACCTGTTAAGAAATATCCATCATCACATTTTGTACATTTATTTTCTTCTGTTGGTGAGAATAAACGACAATGATTCTTGACACAAACTCCATCAGAAACAGTACATCTTTTATTACATGATTCACAATGTTCAGCGTTATAAATACTACACTCGTTACCTTCTGAGAGATCTTTTGAGTTATCAATTGTACATACCTTACATTCTGTACCATTTAAATAATAACCTTCCATACAACCATTACACTTATCAGAATTCATCTTTGAACAATGATCTGGGTATTTAGTACATTTTTTTTCAGTATTAATATAATATCCATCTGCACATTGGTTACAAGAGCTTTCAACTTGTAAAATACACTTTTCAATCTTTTCATTCTTTTTAGTACATTGACCACTTTGAAGAGAATACATACCAAAACATTTATCACATTGTTTTGAAGATGAATCTTTTGCGGTAAGACCAACACAATTTTCTGCATGTTCGTCTGTAGTTACTGTATCACATAACTTCTGACCTCCATTAGTAGTAGTAGACATTCCAATAACACATTCACCACATTTATCGTTGTCTTTTGAAAGACATGACTCACAAGTATCAACACCATTCTTACATTTGCATTTCTCATTATTAGAAGATGATGTATCACTTTCTTTTCCATTTTCACAATAAACACATTTTGGAGAATTAGAATCACTACCGTCATAATAAGAAAAAGCACTTTTACAAGTTTCTTCTTTAAGAGTACATTTTTGAGTACTTCCACTTCCAGACTCAGTTTTAAGTTCATAACCTTCATCACAACTAGCGCATGCTCCATTTGAGACTGATGCACAATGTGGAACAGCAGTTCTTGGTTCTTGGTTATTAATGAGTTTATCAGCAGTATAATCACCAAGTGAAATTGATATGAATAAAAGAAGAATAAACATGAATAAAATAAACAGACGAAGATCTCTTAAAAAGGGAGAGAATGTATGAAGTGAAAACCCAAATTATTACTTTATATTTTATCCCGTATTTTTACGATAATTTTCTTTGATATCGATTGAATTGAAACTAATACCATTTTATTTTTTTTTTGAATAACTTCATTATAGTTTTTTTTCCTTTTATTAATAGTAATTAACCTAAAAGAATCTTCCTTTTCTCGTTGTGTTATTCTTATTCTTGTCTTTGTGCAGAAATGTTGTAATTTGGTTTCAATGTATTCAGACCATTCTTTTGATACTTTTGTGTATTTCTTATGAAAAAAGACAGAAATTAGTACTTGCTGTGCTTGCGAAAGTCTTAATAATGTTTTATTAGAATAGAATCAATATTTTTTGAGGCATATAAAATCGAATAGTTATCCTTATTTGGTTCATAATTTTCAAATAAAGGAACAAATTGTGTTTTTTTTAGGGTATTACTTTATGACACTTTTATTTTTATTTTTTCTTTAGAACCTTGAAAGTGGTTTTACGTCACTTGATAAATTGGTTTTATTGCTTTGTTATTTTCTTTGTCAATAACTTGCCTTTATTCTCAACGAATGAGTCAAACCATTTGTTATTTTAAATAAAAATATGAATTGCATAACGTTGTTTTGAAATATCCTCAGAACTTAGTTTTTATACAACTTTAAAGAAGTAAAACAAAGTGTTTTATGAATTAATTCAATTAATGTTATACATGTTGGTATTAACTCTTATTTAAGTATTTAAAAAGAATATTACAGAAAAATCATAAAAAAAATATGTTTATTAAAACAAATTCAATGAGGAATTAGTTTGAAAGCATGAGGAAAAACATATTTCCCATAACACTGATGAAGGTAATAAAGAAAATCAAGAAGAAGAAAAGAAATAAAGAGATTATAAATGCTGTGATGAGTTTTTGTTGACAAGTCTTTTTTGGTGTTTGTGCTTCTTCTTGAGTCATAGGAATTACAGTAGAGTTGTTGTCATATGGAGGAGCTAATAAAGTGTCATTAGAAGGAGTTAATGGTTGTTGAGGTAGAGAAGGGGTTGGTTGTTGGTTATAAAAAGGATATGTACTATATCCAATAGGTTGATTAGCGTACAACATAGTAGGAGGTGTTTTTATTTCATTTTGATTAGTAACAGGGTTGTATGGTTGTGTCATTTGGTTGGGTTGACAATAATACTGATTAAATGGTTGTTGGTTTGGGAAATTACCATTTATGTTTGAGTTAGGAGTGTATTGGTTGTTCATCATTTCTTTATTCAATTAATGTTTTTACAGTTCTTCTTCTTGGCTTACGTCAAGAAGAATAAAAATGAAAGCCTCTTTCAATAACAACATCATCTATTTTTATTTTATGTAAACCATTAAAAATAATACATTTTCAAGTCATCTCATTTAGTTGAATAACGGTATAATACAAAAAAAGAGAAATCAACTAACCTCACTTTCTTTTATAGTTTTATATTTTTATCTATCATTCATAACGCCTTTATTTTAATAGAAATTACCAGATAAATCAAGTAGATTTAAACATCAATTAAATCGTTAGAGTCAGTAGACAAATGTTTTAAAGATAAATGTGTAGTAGAAAATCATATTAACACAAAAGCATTAGATGTTAATGATATAGATATAATATTTATAGGGGAAAGAATTGATGAATTTGTATCTTTCTTTATAGTGAAATGGAAAGAAAAGAAATAAAACTCAATTGAAAATCTCTTTTGAATAATTTATTCTTCTTGTTTCTTTTTTGATTCGAGAATAACTTTACCTTCACTCATCCAATACTTTTCTTCAGGACAATGATTTTTTTTCCATTCTGGATATTTGGTACAAGCCTTTTTTAAGTCAATAATGACTTGACCAATCATACTCTTAGTAGCTTTGTTAACAACCCATGTAGGAATCCATCCATTCCATGAATTCCAACTAAAGAAACTAAGTTTAGTTCCCTCTGGTGTTTTTTCAATAATATAACCAGTTTTAAGACTTTGAGCACGAACAAAATTTTTGTCAACAGGTGCTTTATCATGTTCTACTGAATGATTCATAATAATATACAAAGATTTGTCTTCATTGAACCACCATGATCTCATATTAACCCAATCACGGTTAGCTACTGTAAAAGGCATTTTTACACTATAGTAACCAATTTCTGTATTTTCATCAATTTGTTCAACAAGATGTTGTTCTTTCATTGAACCATCCCATTCAGTTCTAAATTGTGGATCTTGAATTACATCATGTAATACATCAATAGGAATATCATGTAATGCCATTGACTTAAGTTTAATTTGTAATACACTTTCATTTGCCGCCTTTATTAAATTAGTTTTTTAGGTTTTGTATTTCTTCTGTTATTAACAAACATCTCTGAACAATACCTTAGTATCATTTTTATCTTGGTCAACAGTCCATCCTTCATCATCATCAAGTGTTTTTTTAAATTCCATAAATTCATTTAAAGTTGGAACAGGATATTTTTCATTATGAGTGAATGTAAAAACATCCCCATATTCTTTTTTTACCCATTCACTCATTTCTTGAACTTTAATTACTTAATATAAGTTCCAAGTTCTTGATCTAAATAATCAGATAAGATTTATTGTTTTTTTTTTATTCCTTCAAATACTACTTTTTTATTTTTATTTTTTATTTTTTTGATACTTAAAAGTAATTGACTATTTGTAATTGTTCTTGATTTAAATCTAAATGAATCAAATTTTAAGAAATTACAATCAATATTCATTTTGTTTTGTTAAATGAAAAGACAAGAATATTAAAAGAAAAAAAGTTATAATAAATAAAATTAGTATATAATATGAACCAGTTCAATATCTCCTCGTTTGATATCTAATCGTTTAATTCCCATCTGAAACCGATGTACTAAAGCAGAATGGATTGCCCTTTCTTTCTGATGTATGTCATCTGTTTTAATTAGTCCTTTCCCATACCTATATACACATCTAATTCCTTTTTTATTTCTTGAAATTTCAATTCCTTTTTCGTAAAGTAAATCCTCCAATAATTCAATCGTGTGTTGAATTCTTAAAGACTTAATCTTTTCATAGCCAAGTTTTGTTCTTATTCCATTTGTGTCAATAGGCTTTATTTCATTTTTCACTTTCTCATTAATTATATTTTCCAATTCAATAACCCCATCACCAAAATCAATTCCACTGATTTTTGGGCATCCATAAGGAATTTCTTTCTTTTTACTAAACCGTTCAATTGTGATATTACACCATTTACTTAACATCCCAAGAAATAATGATATCTCATATACATTTTCTGGAACTTTTCTCTTGTGATGTTGTTTAAGAGGAGTTCCAAACAATTGAAGGCGTTGTTGATTAATGATGAAGACTGGATTAATAGGGATTGAATTTGAATGCATTTTGGTTTTATTAGTTTCTTCACCTAAAAAATGAAGAAGAAAAAATAGAGTATTAATATAATTTATTAATATTTTCTAGTTTATATAAAGATTAATGATTATTACAATGACTTACTTTTAATAGCCTCTGTTTTTTTCTTCTTAATAGCTTGTTTCAAATAGTTTGGTAATTGTGGTAATGTCATCCGTTTAGCACGTGTTTCTATTTCTGTCTTATTTAATAAAGATTTTCTTTTACGATCAATTTCACGAATAACTTTTTCTGCTCTTAATTTAATTGCTCTATTAGCAGCATTTCGTTCTTTAAAGTCTTTAATGTCTTTTGTTGTGGTGGTTTGACGTTCTATCTTTTTTATTAATGATTGAGTGTCTGCAATTGTTTTATGTGTTTCTTTTAGAACATGTTCAGTTCGTTTTATTTGTTCATTTGTCTTATGCTTAATTTCTAATGACTTCCTTTTTTCTAACCTGTTCATTGTTTGTATATGTGTTGTTTCAGTAAGTCTCTTTTTTGTTGGTGTTGAAGGTTTTTTTAGAAGTTGTTGAACTCCAATCATTAATGGCTTTGTTTTAGTTTTTTTGTTAATGTTTATATGACTAAGATAAGAAGGCATTATCGCTGTGTGCATTCCTATTTCTAACTTGGTATTTCCATTTCTCTCTTTAACTTTTTTCTTATTTGTTTTTAACATAGACAAAGCCTGAGAGGGTTCTTTTGGGATACAAGAAACGTCTACTAAACTATAATCAGAAGGAACAGTTTCTTTACTTATTAGGTTAGTATTTTCATTAATTTCTTCTTTTTCTTCTTGAGGGTTTTTAAGTTCTTTTTCTGAGTGTGACAGTAAAGGAATTTCACTCACACACCCTTTTTTTATTTCAGACTTATCTGTTTTTGATGTTCTAACACCAGTAAGTAAGTGAAGAATATTAGCATTTAACTCTTGTGTAGTCGGAATTTTTGGTTGGAACTGTGTTAAGTCGATATGACGAGGTGGTCTAAATTCTAAAATGTCAAGAATTTCTTTATCTTCAGAGATATTGATTGTTTTTGACTTTTTCATTCCATTATTTTCCGATCTCTAGTTTTTCTCTTTTCTACTTCTCAGAAAATTCGTTTATTGAAAAAAGTTGAAATATAGGAGAAAAAGATTATTTTTGTTATTTAAAACACTAAAAAATCTTTTTTCTTTTTACATTTTTTTGAATGATAATTAAAACTACTTCAAAACTTAGTCTTTCCTTTCATTAAAACTCCTTTTTGGATTAAAGGTAAATTACTGTTTCATTTCAACTAATTAAAAAAAAACACTCAATTTCTAATCATTTATTGTTTTGAACATACATAGTTTATTTTATTCACTAACGTTGATATAATTATTCCTATTCTTTATGAATGTTTATCAAAGCAATAATATCATAATTTACTAATTGTTGATTGCATTTTAATTGGTGTTAATGAATTACATTTATTAAAAGACACATGTTCAATTTCTCTCAAACAAGTTGGAATAACAACAATTGTTAAGGTATATATTTTTCAAACCACACTCATACAAGTAA